TCTACAATGTGTGATTTATCATTTTATTTGCATGGAAGTTACCGTGGTATGTTTCAACGACTCCCCCCACCCCTACCCCCACCGACAAAGTTACCAGGACTGGTTACATAATTTATCATGTCTACGATGTATGAGTTATCATGTTATTTGCATAAAAAGTTATCAGGACAGTGATGCGTAAAACTATCATCATATTTACACAGAAGTTATCGAGAGTACATTTCATCAAAACCCCTCCCTCCGGCGGAGGGAAAAGTTATCATGTTTGCGGTGCGTAAATTATTGGGGGTATATTTCAGCACCCCTTCTCGCCAAAGTTACCAGGACCGGGGTACATAAGTTATCGGGTCTCTGATGTCTGAGTTACCATGTTGTTCACATCAGAGTAACTGGGAATATTTCATCAACATCCTAATTATGATGCTATTTATGCATAAGTTACCGATGAAAATCTTACGTGAACCAGAAAAATGCATTGGGTGTCATCAAATCAAAATAAAAGTCACCAAACACATGACTTAACAAACCAGCTGACTTGAGTTCAAACATACAAAAGACTCGTAATTAGGATCCACAATTTGTTGTAGGGAGAAACACGTTGACCATTTAACTTGCGTATTTTAAATAGCTGAAGGTCATTTCGTTAGAAAACTACAAACGGAAGTACAGTTGGTTAGCTGGGCCGAAGCATTAGTCTCTTCTCTAGACGGCCAGGGATCGAGTCCCAACCAAAGTTTCAGATCGCGGCCTAAGGCATTTAGCGGCTGGCTCTGTGCCAACGCTACAGACGCTATCGCCGGCTATAGCGGCCGCTAAGCCATTTCGCGGCTACAGTACTTTTGCATGTATATCATGCATCTATACTAATACATGTGCATATTTTTCTCAGGAAACAGGGTATTTTCAGTAGAAAACAGAGGATTCTCAATATAAATTTGAACATAACAAGTACAGAAGAGATCTGCAGCAGTTCAACAAATAAATAAAAACATAAATTCAAGACTGCATCAAGCATAACATCAGCAGTTCGGCAGAAGTTAAGTAACAACAGCAGCATGTCCATAGTCCATTACATGCATCACAAAGTCTTCAGAATTCATTTGTCAAAAGCACACAGGAAAGGATAGAATCATGAGCGCCAAAACGAACTTCATAAAGAAACCGACAAGCTCACATGTCAGAACCAGAACTCATGTTGGTGTCCTCGTCGTCGTCACTTTCTGAAGCAGAGGAAGCAGAGAGCAGATCTTCTTGAGGAGTAACAGGGATCATCATCTTCTTCTTCTTACCATAGACACCCCTCTTCCTTTTAAGGGGATTAATAGCAGAAGTTCCTGGTCCAGCATGCGAGCTTGCATATGGAATTTCTTGATCTTGATCTTCACCTTCAACTTGTTCTTCATCACCATTAGGCACCACACCAGTGATCCATTCATTCTCATCATCTTCTAAAACATCTACCACCTGCTTCTCAATGGGGTCCTTGAGTTTGTTTAGTTTCTTGTCCTTCAGTTTGGAGTTGAACTTGATGAAAACAAGGTCACTCATCTTGTCATGCACCAGCCTGCTGCGTCTCTTTGTGTGAACCTACAAAATGAACAAATGAAGAGTGTGAACAAAAACCATGAATCCAATATAAAGATCTCAAGGGCTGCAGCAAGCATAACATCACCAGATAAATAGAAGAAGTATAATAGAGGTCAGCAGAAGTTCAATATATAAATATAAGTATAAATTCAGTCTCAAGGTCTACAGCAAGTATAACATCACTAGTTCTGCACTTAAGTTCATAGAGAAATTGACAGCATCACAGTCTTCAAAATGGAATGAACAATGCATTTGAGTGGGTTACTGAGAAGCAAATCATGGTCTTCTTGTCATGTCCATAATCAGACACAATACACTACAAAGCACCTCACTGTTACACTCACATGAAAAAATAATAAAAACCCTGTTATTCTATTTACACAGGTTATGGAAGTAGCCAAGAAGACAACAATATCTTTATTCTTTACACAAGTTCTTGAGCTGTGACTTATTCATTTAACACAAGCAAATTAAAGCAGCAGATCAAGGCATCACAGACCATCATCTAAAGAAAAATTTGAGTGGCAGATCTGAATATTCTACCAATGAGCTATGTTGAAAACCTAAGCTACAATCTAAACCTACAACTACAAGTCTACAATGCAATCCCAAGAGCCTACAATCTGAATCAACAGAGCCTACAATCTGAATCAACAAACAAGTCTAAATCCCAGAGCCTACAATCTGAATCAACAAACAAGTCTGAATATTCTACAAATGAGCTATGGAAAGAATCGTAGGACTCATGTACCTCCTGGCGATGTGCTTGCCCCGGCTGCTGGAACCGTTTGAGACTGAGACTGAGATGTCATCGTGGTCGTAGAGGCGACGTCGTGCAGAGGCCCCTCGTCGCCGGTCGCCTTTCCACCTCCCCCGCAACCGAATCTGGCTTCCAACGAAGCAACAGTCGGCACTGCTGGGAAGAACAGCGCAGCCGCCGCAAACTTTTTAGTGGGAGGGAGAGAAGGGAATGGGGGACACGAGCTAGGTTTTCTGGAGGCGGTATTATATACCATCGCGAATTTGGGCCGTTCTGATCTGTTTGGGGCATTTGGGCCCTTGTGTTTCAGTCTTTCGGCCCATGCCCGCGATTTTGCAGCGATAGCGAAGTCAAATAGCGTCGTTTCACGCGTGATCGCGCGGTTAGCGGCAGATCGCGTTTTTTATGGGATTGCGTCGCGGGAAGGGTTCCAGCACGCGATCGCGCCGCGATCGCGCTGTTTTCGCCCGCGATCTGAAACTTTGGTCCCAACCGACGCAAGTATTTTTTGTGAAGCGCTGCATAAGAAAAACGGTTCAGCGACGCAGGAGAATCGGAGGGACCGGCAGTCGAGGGAACTCGTACGAACGAGCGGTGCATAAAAAAAACGATTCAGCGACGGGAGGAAAAGAAAATCGCTGAACAAAATCGTCCGTGCCTGTCGCTAATCACCAGTCGACTGGTGGTTAGATTTCTCGTAAAATGTTTCAAACATCACAATTGGAAAAAAGGCCTTACTAACCAAATAACGATTAAAATTTTGAAGTAAATTATATGCCTAGAAACCAAATAAGAACTATACTGGAAATATTTATGAATTACTACGACTAATCAGACTACTTTAATATGAGGCCGTAATAAAGAATAATCATTGTAGGTGATCTGATATTATGTTCGACTAATAAAATAAGATAAGGACAGAGAGGTAATGGATTTCACCAACAAAATCAAGCTAAACAATTAAGCTAGCAAACCAGTCCGACCTATTACATATCCCACATGGACAGTAGCACCTACATACTGAAGCAACACAACTGACAACAAAAATCCCCATATATGAACATCACAACCTGTTGGCATTAATTAAACAAAAATTAAACCTGAAAGAAGAAGTCAAATGATATATATTCTACAACATTAACAAATGGGTGACAACATCAAGAAAATAATGATGGTGTGTAGAGGTGAAAGGCACACGAACACAAAATTGATCCGAGAATGTAGAAGTCAAATGGAAATAAATAGCTCCAGATATCTCGATCCAATAACTACAACAAATATTGCTTTAGGAATTTGTGCCAAGGGCGGTTTACAAACAATCGCCGGTGAAATTCCTATTGATCAATATTGAATTCTTCATTAACATATTGAAGAGGTAGTTGGCAGAAGACTTCGCTCTCAAACAAGCATGTTAGCATTAGTTTTGCACAACAGGCTGGTAGGGTGGGAATATATAAGATGTTAATCAAAATCTTAAAGCATGCAAAATACATCTGGTACAAATAATTCTACTTATATTAGCTGATGATACGAATACATATCATTGGCGATTATCATAACATCTTCCATTTGAAAACATTTTATTCAAATTGAAACAAAAAAGACACAAACTCACATATCATCCAAGAATACATGTTTAAGTTCAGTATTAGACCGTCAGTCAAATGATGAAAATACACATTTTACAGTTAATATCAGAGAAGACTAACAAATAACCCCCAAGAGAAAGGATATACAATGCATTTATGATTAATTGTTCGTTAGTGGACTCTGATTCTTAGATGCCACTCATGTCACCAAGTGAAGGGCTTCAAAATAGATGTGCATGAACACACTACTTTTATAATATACACATCGTCATGCATAGGAGGTTCAGACTTGAAACATTTGTAATATCGAAGATATAAGACTTCAGAGTAACACTCACCATATCAAAAGCAAGTAAATAGTCCATGCACAAGATATAATGATTCGTCAGTGAATGCACACCCATGTGCCATATAAAGCTCACACATTTCCAGCCCACACAAACAAAAAAGAAGGCTTTGAAAACTGAAGCGACCATGTGGGGGTGCTGCTTACCCAAGGAGCCGAGCTCTCGACCATGGATGCCCTGGTCGTTGTCCTCCTCCACAAAGGGTGCCTGCAGCTCCGAATATATCGAACAAACAAGTAATATGGAGGTGACAGTATAGGGAAAATAATCTTTCCCATGATATGACACAAGAGTATAATCTTACAATAATTAGCAGTAGCTAATTGGACTTGATCCAGCACAGAAGCACATCAAGCACTGACCAAATGACAATCATGACGCCTTCAGATTGAAGTAATCTGTGGCATGTATGGACGGATTGGCAGAGAACTTCTACAGCCAACGCTTGAGACCGATCAGCATGCACACACACTTCAGGTTGGCGGAGAACTTCTACACCCAATGCTTGAGACTGATGGCATGGGCACACCAAGTGTGCCACCATGATATTGCTTCTGCCCTGCATGCACAACAGAAGCCCTTCAAACAGAGAACCAAAAAACAACTCTAAGTTGTGAAGCACTCCAACTTCATCAAAAAACGACCAGGAAAAAGTATATATCTAGCCTGAAATTCCAAGGTATCTGTATAAGTACAACATAAACCAAAAGATTTACCAGCTTCAAAGTAGTTAGCTTTCCTTCTCCTAAAAATAGAAGGATTTACCTGCTACAATAAACATATATTCCTGCCATAAATAAATAAAGATAATGTGTGATAGACTGACAATTGAAACTGACGTCTTTGTGTCGCTTAGTTACTATGATCTTGATATACATATACATTTATATTCAGAGTTCTCATTTCAGAAGGAATATAACATATATGTAGCGCAGTGAAGGCTGCACTTCTAGCATTAGGTTTTTTCTCCAATAATTTATTATTGACATCATCATCAGGTCATCGGAGCCATGCACCCGCATAGCCATTGCCTGTCCTCTTTGGCGAATTTATACAAAATTCATAGCATCAGAAAGCTATTGTTAGAAACTACTAAGCTATACAAACTGAACACTATTGCCCTAGAAATTTACTCATATCTTGCACAGACAACTCACAGAAAATGATCTTTAGTCACTTTAATTATTTTGCATATACTGAAATCAATTATACAAAAAAAATGATAACGTCGTTATCAGGCTTGAAGGAAATCACTTGAGTATTCGCTTGGGGAAAATTGTTCACATATGAATTAAGAGAGATGAATCTACATCCTTTTAATACATCTAACGCACTATGTCAAAAACAATTTTTTGAAATTGCATTTCAGTCTGTTTAGAATTAGTACTGTAGTTTTTTCAGAGGGGGCATTTGTACTGTGGAGGAATTAACTGCAATCAGAGGATAATACATACATCAATATCAGTGAGCTGAGCTTGGAAAGTGACTTGGGGATTCTTCCAGTGATTATCGGCATACAAATCCAAACCGATTAATTTCTTCAGTTTGCCCAATTCTTTTGGGATCTCGCCATTGAGGTTGTTCCTGTACAGCTCCCTGCAAATCAAGTTCCAAATGAGAAAATCAAACCATTTTGTTCTGTTCAAATAACAGAAACAAGGGAATTCATTGTAGGAGCACATACAGGTACTAAAGATTCACAAGACGGCTGAGCTCAGGGACGATGGAGCCAGAGTTGTTGGGGTTGCCTAAACCCTGCAGAAGTTTACCACAAAGAGTGTCATGCAACCAGGTCATCCAACCAACATGATGCAATATTGTTGAACTATGAGAGACGCCACGTTATTGATTACACTTGCAAGCTATTTATTTCTTACAAAAATCAGCCCTTTTAAACAGTAGTGTGATTATTCAGTTATTGCTTATAAGCTAGCAATCCCTAGAAGCAAGTGGTGGAGCAAAGACCATGGATATCCTTGCCAGCACGCAAGCAATTTGACCTAGTAGTTAGAAGCGAGTTGGGTTTCTAGGTTAATGTGAGCAAGCGCAGGAAAATCCTCGAAGCTCTGTTTGGCTAAATACAACACCTAGGTCTTGACAGATACAGCAGAAGGTGACAATGCACAACCAATTCCAACCATCTCTGTGCTTTGCACATATAAAAATTATAGCATCTCGAATCTGCAGATCTGTATACTTCTTTCTTTTGTACTGTGTACCAGCTCTTTGTTCTGAATCCAAGTGACACTAAACATTAATACATGC